TATATATATATATATATATATATATTGCGCGCATGCATATTTGTCGATTTATGCATTTTATTTTGCAAGAGTATTTCTTTTTCGCGTTGGTTTTTTGTCTGTAGGCAGATATATCTGCTGTATATTGTTTAGGGTTTAGGGTTTAGGGTTTAGGGTTTAGGGTTTGTGGATGCTCAGGCCCTGAGGACCGTTTGAACAGCCGCTATTATTTGGTGGTTTTGCAATCGCAAGACAAATTAAATGGAGAGAGAGTTAAAGACCTCATTAAAGCAGAAAATGCTAAAGTCCGCCTTAGGGTTTAGGGCCTAGGGTTTAGGGTTTAGGGTTTAGGGTTTTGAGGGACAAGGGTTTATCTGTAACCGTGCAAGACGAGCAATTCTGGTTTAGAGATGCTTGATGGTTTTGTTGTTTATATTTGTTTTTAGTTTTATGTTCTAGGGTTTTAAATTTAAGGGTTTATTTTTTAGGGTTTAGGGTTTAGGGTTTAGGGTTTTGGGGTGTATGTGCAGGTGGGTCGTCGGTTGGGTAATAAGAAGTTGAATTTTAATTTTTGTCAATCTTTTGAGGCTTTAACTGGCTTTAAAAGAAACGGGGTGACGCCGTTTAACTGCAGAACCTCTATACCTGTAATTATATCGCTTAAATTATTTTCTATTCAACATTCGCGCGTCTTTCTTGGAGGGGGTGCACCTGATCTTAAAATTGAAGTACCTCTCATCGATTTAGTTCGGCTCACAAACCCTATTGTTGGCATTGTTAGCTAAATACTACTGCTGCTGCTGCTGCTGCTGCTGCTGTTTGTGTTTAAGCTGCAGCAGCAGCAGCAGCAGCAGCAGCAGCAGGGGCTGCAGGAATTATACATAGCGAAGGAATTAAGAATTTGTTTTTTTTTGTAGTTTTTTATTTACTTGCGTTACGTTGACGCCGTACAAACTATAATAATAATAATAATAATAATAATGTCTTGTCTTCTTGTTTATTAGCTTGCAGCTCAGTTGTTGTTGCTGCTGCTGCTTCTGCTGCTGTTAGTTGTTCTGCTGGGCCTGCTTCTGCTGCTGCTGCTGTAGCTGCTGCCAGCTGTTGCTGCTAGCCGTAAATTCTCTTCCTGCTGCAGCGGAGTAAATGCTAGTGTGTATATGCAGGTAGATATTTAGACTTCTTTATTCAGGTGTATGTACAGCAGCAGACACCTGCTTTCATTGCTTTTTGCTGCTGCTGATGCTGCTGCTGTTGCTAGCTGCAGTGTATATGCAGGTAGGTGTTCAAACTTCTTTGTTCAGCACCTGCTTGCATTGCTTTTGATTTATATAACAGAGAAGCAACCAGGTTTATTTAGAAGGAGGTTTTCTTTGATTATATTTGTTTGTTTGTTTTGCTGCACTTGCGTTGTGTTGCTGTTTTTCACTTCTCACTGTTGACTTCAAAAAATATATAAATTTTGTTTTTCTTTTGTTATATCTGTTTTTGTTTGTTCTCTGATTGTGGGAGGCTAAGTTAGCCTCAATATAATGATGCAGATGAAGGACTTGCGTTTCTTTTTCTAATGCCAACTAAAATATTTCATATATATTACTTTGAATTTCATTTGTTTTAACAAACAATTGCGAAAAGACCGGAAATCTGAAAGCAACAACATTTTGAGGTGTATGTATGTACACCTCAAGTAAAACCTAAATGAGGGGTTTTGAAGGAAAAGTATTGAAATATGGCGTTTTAAAGCATTAAAAAATTAAAAAAATATATTTTGTTGTTTAATAATTTGATATTTCTTATTCTATACTTCTGCAGTTTGCCTTTTTCTGCTGTTTCTGCTGTTGAGTGCTCTCCGTGAGGTGTATATGCAGCAACGTTGTTTATGAATATGATTACCTACATGATTCTTTTCATTATTATTTTATTTTAAATACTAAAATAACATTTTTAATCTGATTAACACATATTAGGAGAAATTAAATTCAAAGGAAATGCTGCAGCAACCGCTGTAGACCAGCGGTGTTACTGCACGCCCAGGGCAGAGAGAGTGCTTGAAATATGTCTCTATTAAGCGAAATATTGGAGGAAATAAACAAATAAAGTGAAACAAAATAATTTAAAATATATTAAGTGTTTATTTCATGTTCAATTGAGCTGTTTTACACACTATACACCGCAAACAGCTTATCGGGCTGATGCAGCCAACTTCAGGTGTACAGACACCTCAATGAAACCAAAGTTGAAAAATATATTTACGCTAAATGTTCAATACAAATATTTAAATGCTGTTTTCTTGAATCCGTGGGGGCGACGAAAGTGAACAGCCATCCTGCTGTTCAGGGTTTAGGGTTTAGGGTTTAGGGTTTAGGGTTTAGGGTTTAGGGTTTAGGGTTTTCTTCCAGGGGCTTTCGTGGCTCTGTGAAGCTGTTTTTTGTGTTTCGGGTGTCTCTATTCTAACCTCCGGATGAAAACCTAAAACCCTAAACCCTAAACCCTAAACCCTAAACCCTAAACCCTAGCAACCCTCAAGATGCTGGGGGCGCTGAAAGGTCATCTGGCGCCTGCCATTATATCTGCTTCCGAAGATAATGAATTTCAACAGAGTCTCAGGATTATTGATGAACGAACAGGTAAAGGGTTTAGGGTTTAGGGTTTAGGGTTTAGGGCTTAGGGCATAGGGTTTGAGGAGCAGGGCTTATTAGGGCCTACAGTTTATTACGGTTTATTTGCTAGGGTTTATTAGGGTTTATCTATTTGGGGTGTATTAGGGTTTATTTTGGCTTAGTTATAATCGTTTCCTAGGGTTTATTATTGTTTCCGAGGATTTATTAGATTTTATTAGATTTTATTACGTTTAGTAGGGTTTCCGTTTATTATCGTTTATTAGGGTTTATAAGGGTTTATTAGGGTTTGTGAGGGCTTAGTAGGGTTTATTAGGGTTTATGAGGGTTTCCTAGGGTTAGTTAGGGTTTATGAGGGTTTATAAGGGATTATAAGGGTTTGTAAGGGTTTATGAGGGTTTCCTAGGGCTTATAAGGGTTTATTAGGGTTTTTAAGGGTTTATAAGGGTTCATGATGGTTACTTAGGGTTTACAAGGGACTATAAGGGTTGATGAGGGTTTGTGAAGGTTGATTAGGGTTTGTGAGGGTTGACTAGGGTTTATACGGGTTGACTAGGGTTTATGAGGGTTGATTAGGGTTTATGAGGGTTGATTAGGGTTTAGGGTTTGGCGCAGGGAGAGAGTATAAAGTGCCGATTAAACAAAACACAATCGAAGCGAAGCACCTTGCAGCAATTTGCATTTCTGGACGAACTTCGCTGCGGTTGTTGGACCCCGGCCTAACATACACCTGCATCGGCAGTAGTCAAATATGCTTTATTGACGGAGAGAAAGGCATCCTCAGGTCTTC